GGGGTTCCAGACTAATAACACAAGTGTAAGGTACCATCACAATAAATCTCAACCTTGGGTAATTAAGACCCGCGACTCTTATGGTAGTACCTTGGGACAATGCACCACCACAAAAGTTCCTCGCGGGTCAAAAAAAATAGAATGGAAGGTTTCACAAAAAAACAGGGTTATGAACAAATCTTTCGCCCCAGGCGGGACTAGAACCCGCACTACTCGCTTGCCGGGCGAGTGCGCTACAAGTTACGCTACCGGGAGTAAGCAAGAGGTGTGGGTTCAAAGCCTGCTTGGGGCGAAAGTTCATAAGGCCGATGTCAGACTTTGCGAATCGCGCGATTCGCTAGCGTCTGCGGTCGCGTCGCGGCCAGTGAATCACTCATTGGCTGGTACCGCAACGCGACCGCGGACGCTAGCGAATCGCGCGATTCGCAAAGTCTGACATCGGCCTAACCCAGCTTCTTGTGAAGGGTTGGCAACGCGAACTGCGGCGTTGTAGCAGCAGTCAAAAAGCAAAGAATAGAATGTGTTGTGAATCAAATAAGAGGCTGGTCAGTCAAACGTTAACTCACCCTTCCGTTCTGCTCTATAATTTCTCCACCGCTTTGATCGTGACCGGCAAGTAACCCGCCAATCATAACGAAATCTGCTCCTAAATAGGGTTATTCGTAGCCCTTGCCATGAAACTGTGCAGAACATCAAACCTGCTCCGAACGCTTTCGCCACGTCTCCGGGGTTTGTACATCCGCCGTCGCTCATAACATGTCCACCAAGTCCATGAGCAGCGTCAGCACATTCGAGCACCTCAAGAAAATCTGTTCTAGCGGTAAACAAATGTGATATTCGTGTTCTACGGGTCGAATTACCCCCGAAGACAAGTTTCTGGCCAAATTCACAGTCAATGACCAATTTCGATAAAAATCCGGCTCAGTTCTCGAGGAGTGGGGCAGTAAAGGGTAAATAGTGCCGGAACTAGCATATGATTCCCGTTACTAAAAGTGCAGACTAGCAATGTTCCAGATTAGATGGCATTTTGTGTGGTCATGAAGGTATCAGTGGGATGTGAGGTGACCACGCCAGTGGGAAAGAAGGGAATATTTGCCAACGATTTCCATTTAGGGTTCCTCTCTTTCTCTAGTTGCAGGACGGCACACCTTAGGACATCGGCCGGACGTGGGCGACCGCAAAGTCGCTGCAAGAATGAGCCCGTGACGCCCTAGGCATGCGTCTTGAGTAGTGAAATTCGCTTCAATTTTCAGGACATGGCGCAGCAGGCTTATTCGCGGACCTGACTGATTTTCGCCGAGTGTGTCTTCATCATTATTAGTGAGTAGTCCTAAGTCTGGATCGCACCGTAGGCGCAATTTCGAGGGCTTGCTTGAATAAGGGTTGTTGTGCTGGAATTTAGAGGTAGTTACGGTATGTTGAGTTCAATTGCGTGATTAAGAAGGAAAACCCCGTTCAAGATACTGGCGCGCTATAGTTTTTTGGCTGGGCTGCATCCGGCAATTTCTGAAGGTCTCACTATCTTGCCGCCCTTGTGTAAGTTATGAATTTACAGTCAAAAGGCAAACCACCGAGTTCATTATGCTTGCGGCGGAGCGCAAACTCCGCCCAGAAAGAATGGTGCGAAAAGGAGTTTCAGAGGTTTGTACCGTTTTCTGTTGCTTTTTTACTACTGTGGATCACGAACCACAAGTGCTATGATTCGTTGCTGGGCGCAAAAACATGCAACTATTTCAATCGCCGGACTGTGCCTTAGGCAAGATCGCAAGTACAGAAAAACAGCAAGTGAGAAAAGGGGAACGGTTATTCAGGGGGGACCAATATGACGAAGAAGAGACATATGATAGGCTGGATGTGAGCGAAGGAGACACAACGCCCAGTGATTGGCGCAGCAGATTCCTTGGCTGGGCTGATGTTGGTGGGTTACCGAGATATTCGCCGGCCAGCATGAGTAATGATAGTGTATAACCAATGCCGTTCATTTTATGGAGTCAATGCGAGAACTTTTCTTAAAAATTCACAATGTTTGTGGAAAAAAGAGAACAGAGAGGATGAAAAAGAGAAGATGAAACGAAGCAGGGTTCGGAGCTTTCTTCTGGAATCCAAATGGCGGAGTATCCAAAAAGGACCATTAGAATCAGAGAGATGGCAATGTGATGCAGCTAGAGAAAAATGAGAGCTATTGAAAATGAGAAGTGTCACGCACATTTGAGAAAATGAAGCCCTTTATTGCGGTTATTTTGTCACTGAGCTTCTCATCCGGTGCTTTTTTCAACATTTAGCGCGCGTTTGCTAATGTGAGGGTAGGTCTGAGCGAAGGCTGGCGCATAGTTCGCAGGGAACGGGCATTGTTGGATCACCTTGGAGGGTCACCTGTCTAGTCCTGGTTAGTTTCCCTAATGCAGATTAATGCAGATTGATTCGATGCTGCCAAGTTTAAAGGTCTAGAGGAGTAGACTGAAAATTGTAGATTGTTGGATTTTGCAGTAGTCTCATAGAATTTGAAACTGTGAAATGTGGTAGCTTACCGCACTCAGTTGCGGGTAGCCGACTCCTGCCTTCTTTCTCGTCGTGCATACTGATCCGGGACCGATTCCTACCTTGCAAATTATTCACTAAGCTTCCAAAAAAGTATGAAAATTTGAAAATAATTTCCGAAAGGCAAGACAACTGCTCAAAAACCCACCTTTATAATATCCGCCCCTGAGAGTAGCAGCTCTTCCACCATCTCACAGGTGACCACATTGCCGGCCATTATCGTATATCTGAATGGAACATTGGCGCGAGGTAGAAGATAGCGGTAGAAGGTAGAATAATAGTGATAATCAGAACAGGACGCGCAAGGGCGCTAAGGCGCTCCCATAAAGCTACCGACAAGCATAAACCACGTTAACCATGGCTACGTGGCCGGATGTCTGTGTCTCCCACATCCTTTACAAACTCTCGCTTGTTTTTTTCTCAATTTTTCTCAATTTCTTCCATCTTGATGGAAGAAAAGAAGGAAAAAAGGAGTGGTCTACTCAATTGTAGGACATCTCAGAAATATTTTGCTAAGGGAATTCTCTCCACCGGGTCACCTTGTGTGATGTAAGCTTTTCTGATGCTTAACACTATCATCATGTCGCCTATGCATGGAATATTGGAATCACAATCTCGTCTTCGCAACATTAAGCGATTCCTAATAGTATCTAACTTTTAATCGAGAAAGTCTCCTGAAAAGTGCCGTAAATACTAGCAGATTAGGCTGAATGAGCTCCTAGAGAGCAATGGTTATACGTTGGGTATTGAAATTCCTACAATCTCCCTATAAGTCGATAGTCAGCCTTGTTCCTACTCGAGGTGAAGTGAAGAAACTTTAGAGCTGTCAAAGATGGATACCTCGGAAAGTGCTCGCGAACTTTTCGAATGTAGTCGATAAACATCTCTGAATAACCATTTGCCACATCCAAGCAAATGCTCTCCACCAACGGCACCATCTCACAAATCGATCGTAACTGAATAAAACCTAATCATTTAACTATGAAGAGATCTTCATCTCGTCAAAATTGATAGGGCATTGTTCATAGCTCGCGATTTAGGAAAATGGTGACTTAAAAAATCTCGCGATCGGGTGATTCCGCGATTGGGCAGTTCTTTTTTTGCTACGTTACGTTCGTTTGTCGCCTAGTCGTCTGATCGTTGAACCTTCTAAGTCGCAAGCTATGAATGCTGCCAAATGACGTGGTAACGTCATGATAGCGCGATCTATTGCTCGCCAGCAGTCGCGGTAACCTACATATAGGCGGAATTTTCGATGAAAGGACAGCCTACTAGGAAAGCTAACACTCTCTCTGCTAGGCGGCCAAAGCCAGAACGGTTGAGCGAGCAGCGGCGATACGGGGCGGAGAGGGCCATGTTAGATCGTCATGGGCATATTTTGTCTGCGAATTGGTCCGCACCGTTAGGAGGTCCGCCTACCTCTCCACTAGGTGAGTTTCCCCTTTTCTCCGTAGAACTTCATCCTTATCGCGGAATCCTGCTTCAGGGAATCCGCATTTCTTTCC